ATAGGTGTGCAGGATGTTAAAATGGTGGTTTAGAACCCTTGAAGAAATAGGCTAAAAATTGAAGAAAAGTGGCTAAAAATTGAAGAAAAGTGGCTTAAAATTTTTTGAAAAAACGTGAAAAATGAATGAGAAACTAATTTATCCAATCTAATGACCTTTCACTTACTTTTCTTCTTCCTTTTCAATCACCCCTCGAGTTTGTGAAAATTCGGGGCGTGACACAATAGCTTTGATGCTTGATGCTTGATCGCCTCCCTTTAATGATACTTTCGGATCTTCAATCTTTATAACATCATGACCATGAAATAGGTTGAGATTTATAATGGACTCCATGAAATATCCAATTACAAAATGTTATTCAACAACTTTTATTTTAGATTTCTACTACACATTGCATGTCTAGTTGTGAGACCTCATACTCGAATTAAGTCAAATTCCCATTTAGAGAGGCAATTAGGTCAGTTGGTCCGTCTAGTCCTTCAAGTCATTCAAATTCGTCAGTCACATTCCCTACTTTTGATCTAAGCAGAATATGTAGCGATATGGGTGACTGTAAAAACTTAGGTCTAGAGGTTAGTCAGCAGGATAAAACCCTAAACGACTATCTACATCCCACAAGATATAGTGTCTCATCTTATTACATATAAAAGAATTCGATGAGGTCTGTGGGACTTTCCAAGTTAATTCTAAATTAACTTGTCTTAAGCTTTTTCCCTTCTCATTGAAGGATAAAGCCAAGTTGTGGCTAAACTCATTAAAACCACATTCCATCCCAGATGGTGCTCTTCAGAAAGAGTTTTTCAAGAAATTGTTCCCTCTCTACTGTACTAATGCACTAAAACGTCAAATCATGAATTTTTTTGTCAAAGAGGGAGAAATATTTTATCAATATTTAAAGAGATTCAAGAATCTTCTCCGAGCTTGCCCCCACCATGGTTTTGAGAATTAGACCTTTTAGGATTCCTTTATAATGTTCTCCTTACTCCTTTGCATCAGTTCGTTGAGATGATGTCTCAATGACAGTTTTTGGAATAGAGTCCCAATGACGTCTTTGACTTTTACAATACTTTAGCTAAGAGTTCCTAGTTGTGGGACTCGACCTCACCTACCAGTTAAGAGACCACAACTATCACTTCCCTAAGGGAAAAAAATATATTGAAGGTTGAGGATGACTTTAGGGCCAAGATGGCCACCTTGTCCCAAAAACTTGAGGCTTTGGAGATAAGAAATGTTAATGAAGTGATTTTTGTGCCTCTTACAGAACAAGTGTGTGGGATATGTGCTTTGTCAGGGCATCTCACGAGGGAGTGTCCCACTATATTTGCATTTAAGGAAGTTTTGTTGGAGCAATCCAATGCAATCTCCGGATCACCAAGCCATACTTCAACCTATACTTGGAGACTTACAAACCATGGAGGAAAAACCACCTAAACTTTAATTGGAGAAATGCACAGCAGCCACTTGTCAATAAACTACCACAAGGACCACCACCATATCAACCACCTCAAAAATAAATTATGGAGATACTCTTAACTAGTTCATGCAGGTACAATTAAATTATAATAATCAAAACACTCAAGACTTTCAATGACTTCAAAGTCCAGACTACACAATCTTTTAATGATTTAAAGACTCACATGTAGAAGTTAACCCAGTCAATGCCCACACAAGAAAAGGGCAAATTCCATGCGTAACCAAAAACAACCACATGTCAATTTCTGGTAGGCAACCCTCCCACTATGGATCCTACAAAGGAACATGTCCAGACAACCAACACTCTTAGAAATGAAAAGGTTGTAGATAATGTTATACCACCACACGCAAAGTCTTCACATGTGGTTGAATCTGCACAAGCCTCCCTAGATGAGACTAAGCCTAAGAGGGGATGAGGAGCCACCACCACGCACAATACCTGCTCCCTTTCCCCAAAGGCTTAAAGAAACCCCAGGAGTTAAACAATCATGCTAATATTTACAAGCTTTTTAAGCAAGTAAAGATCAGCATTATACTTTTAAATGTTATCAAACAGGTCTCTTCTTATGCCAAATTTCTAAAGGACTTCTGCACAGTCAAGAGAAATCATAATGTTCAAAAAAGGGTCTTTTTAACTGAACAAACCAGTGTCATAATTTAAAATAAAGCTCTTTCCAAATACAAGGATCCTGGGCCCCTACAGTTTCCTGTGTCATTGAGAACTTCAAGATTGAGCAATCTTTGTTTGATCTTGAATCCAAGAAAAAGAGAAACGTGTGTACTTGAGAGAAAATGTGTGTGCGCACAAGAAACTATAAAAGTACTTTAATAACATATTAATTATTGCAAAGAGAGAGTATTTTAATTTTATGATCAAACTATAAAACTTTTAAAAATAAGAAAAAGAAAATGTCTCTGTCTTTGGCATGTGGATAAATGTGTTCATGAACTTGTACATGAATATTTTGACAATCATAGGAGAATTTATGATATATCAGTCTGATCATATGATAACATATATGGATGTAAGTAAACCCTTGGAGAATTTAATTCCATGAAAGTATAACATCCACAACCTGGTTGTTTGTGTTGTAAATTGTTATTATTATTTCAAAATACAAATTCATTTATATATATTTAACAGTACAAAACAAAAAAAAACTATTTACAAAATATTATCCAAAAATACATAACATAAAAAATGACAATGATTTACGGCATAAAAAGTCAAATTGCATAATTAAAAAGAGTAATACTATAGAGACCTAAGTTGGGGACCTAATTAATAACTTAACTCAATGCAACCATTAAATTAGTTTTAATTTGGGAAAATTTCAACGACACCCCCTCTAATTTACAATATCTTCAAGGACACCCCCTCTAGTTTTTGAATCTTCAATAGCATCCCTTCTAGTTTATTTTAAATATCACTAACACCCCCTACCATTAAACTACTATTTCTAACAAAAAAAATCATCTAAAATACCAAAAATACTCCTACATAATCTCAAGTAATTTTTTTACATAAAATTTTATTAAAATCCAAGTTGTTAAAATTTAAAAAAAAAATCATAAATAACAGTTTTAGTAAATAATTTGTTAGTAAATACTAATTTGTTATTTACTAATTCGTAAATTTTTTTAAAAAATCGAGCCTATTAATTTTTTTTTTACATATTAAAATTTGAACCGATTTGAACTCTACCCGAGTTATAAACGCCGATTAAAATTTATATGTTTTTACTTATTAAAATTCGTTTCAATTAAAATTAGATTTATTAAAATTTAAGTCAATTAAAATTCATATATTTTTATATATTAAAATTTGGGTTGATTAAAATTTAATGCGAATTAATTAAAATTTGATTTAAGTCAATTAAAAATAATTTTTAATAGGCTCAAACAAAATTTTAATTAGCCCAAATTCTAATACGTAAAAAAATATAATTTTTAATTGCCACAAATTTTAATATGTAAAAAAATAAATTTTAATTAACTTGAATCGAATTTTAATCAGTTCGAATTTAATTACGTAAAAAAAATTAGAGAATAGAGGGGGTCTCATTAAAAATATACTTATCTAGAGGGGGTCTCATTGAAGATATGTTTATCTAGAGGGGGTGTGGATGAAATTTATCTTCAAATATATGATGAACAATTTAGTAAATTTGCATTCTAGTTAATATTTTTAATCTGACAAGGGGTGTCATTGAAGATTCAGAAATTAGAGAGGGTGTCCTTGATGATATGATAAATTAGAGGGAGTGTGGTTGAAATTTTCCCTTTTAATTTATGAACTTAGATGGAATTTATTTTTAATCCAATGGTAGCATAAGGTCTCAATATTAGTCATATAACCATATGGCTTGTTTTTTATTGGAAATCTATACTAGTAAGTTAGAACTTGTTTTGAATCTTTAAGTTAGTCAATTACAAGAGTATTTGGGATTCATTAAATCCAATGTTTCAAAATCTTTCCAAATTTTGTTTTCCCAAACTTGAAAATTCAAATAAATTCATACCTTTTCACGCTAACCAATGCCAAATTATATATTTTCTCTTTATCTCTTTCTTCTCTCTCTATTATAGATGTTGAATAATTTATTATCCTTGTATTAAACTGTGTCTAAAGGCACGAACAATTTCTAATCTATATAATATTACAGATAGTCTTATTTACACAAAGCACAACAACAACTCAAATCATTTAAATCCGACGATTAATATTATAATTTAAATTTTAATATTTTAATCATAATAACTCAACCAATATATTTTAAAAAAAACACACACTTGCACATGACACTGTAGTTAATGATACTATTTTGTGCACCACCTCCCTTACACCACCAAATCCGACACAATTAGAGTCATTGAATATTTAATAAACTCTGTATAACCTACTAATCTAATAGTCTATATTAAGGAGGAGAAAATATTCATTATAACGATAATGTGATGTGATATCACCAACTAATAATATTAAGACAAATAAACAAATAAATCTCACAAAAAATAATAATCATCCTATCTTGTAAGTAAATAATTCTCCACTCTTCTTACATGTAAGTTCAAGTGAGATTCACTTTATTTACTTGAATTTTATCACTAGTTAGTGATATTATATCATCAATGATAACATGGTATTACTTGTTGCATTCAAAATTTACTCCTTAAGATTGTACACAAAGGTGGTCTATGAACAGAACAAAAAAAAAAAAAGATGGTCTATGAAGGTGGAGTGTGTTTGATTAAAAAAAAAAGAGTAATGTTAGAAAAATTTAAAAATTAGACATGATAACCTCAATTACTAAATAAATAAATAGCAGATCCTAATAAACATTGAAACCCACAGAAAAATCAATAGTAATAGTTATCGAGTCTAATTTGTTTACTTTTTAAGCCAATTAAACATTAAAAAAAAAAAAAAATTGCTGCGTGTACCATTGTTGATAACCAATCCCCTATTAGCGGGGAGTAAACCTTTATTAATGGGGAATAAACCTCGTCAAAGGTGACTGGGCAAATCTCTCTCTTATTTCCTCAAGAAATTTACCGCATTCTCTCCATTCCGCAAGAACAACAAATTCTTTTTCCATTCCTCTCGTACAGGTTACCATTTTGTTCGTTCAGGATTGGGATAATATTTTACATTTTGCGTACGATCTCTGTTTTTAATTTCTTGTATTTAAGATGCAAATGGTCTTGTTTTATCCACAATGTCGTTTAGCCTCACTTTGATGAATGTTGTTTTAGTACTTGTCAAATACTGCCTTCCCAAGCATTCATTGTTTATATCAATGATTTGTTTATTATGAGTAGCCATGAAAAAATTCAGAGTTCTGTTGCAATCCGCATGCCTTTTTGAATGTGCGAATACATCATTAACATGACTCATCGCATGCGATCGGTTCTAATTAAGATTGCAACAGAACCTTGTGCACTAACTAATGTCCTAATATGTTTTATGTTTTCTTCGATAAGTTATTTTATAAGTTGATGATGTAGATTATGTGGGCGTATTTGGATCAAAATGCTACTTTGTTTAAGATGCTTTCTATTTTGAAACGTAATTGAAGAAATAGTAACAATGCATGCTACCTAATTGTGTTGTGTGTAAAACTGTTTGTTACTCTTTCATGAGAAAGCAAGTGATTCCTTTTTCTAGCTTAAGGAAATAGCGATATAAGAGAAAATCATTGTCTGCAAGTGTGTCTAAGTTGATGAATTCTTATGACATTGCACCAGAACATTGGGATTAGACCCCACCATCTTCAATACGGACAGGGGAGCCCAAGGGCTGGAGCACCAACTCACCTCCCCCTGGGTGTAGCTCATTTCCGCCATCTCTTTTGAAGGAATGAATAGATTATCTCTGAATCCAATCGTTTGTATTTTACTCCTATCGGAGAAAAAAAAAAACAGTAGGGTTATCTTTGGATGTCCATTTTTCCAATTATATATGCATTCCATGATGCTACACGGCTTTCTTAACAGTGGTTTATAATTCACAGTCAAATCTAGTTCATGTCCACTCTGAACTCACAAACCCACAATGAAGTTTGAAGTCCCAATAACTTGTCCTTTAATTTAAGAACTCTGCTCTCATTTTGAACATTGTACCTTCAAGTTTTCATTTTTCTATTTTTTAGAGAAAAACGAAAAGAGTCCCACCATCGATAATTAAGAAAGGATGAACCAACAGTGAGAAGGATTATAGTTAAAAAACTGATTCACACACCATTTTGAGCTTGTTAAACATTCGTTTAGCTAATAACAATTAAACCAAAAGAAAAATAAAGATAACAATAGCAGTTTCAATATCTTTTAGGAGCATAACGCTTTCAGGATCTTTACCATTCAATAAACTTGCATATCTCTGTCACGTTGTAGCATTTAATATCATTCACCATTACCCTCAGGATGCCCTTACAGAAATGGCATCCAACCTGATATATCATAAGAGTTAATGAAATTTGGCATAAAACAAATAAGTCACTGAAAACCATACATAATTAAGGACTAAAAGAACAGAGAAATTACTCCATTGTACTCAGTTATGAAGTTCTATCTTTTTTATGTGGGCTTGGCAGCTTGCCAAAATCTATTCCATTTAAGTTGGCTATTGTTATGTAGTTCTGATCCTGCCTGAGTATCACTTAAAACAGTGGCATGATACTAGTTATGCTTGCAGCAAATTGTTTATTTTCCTTATATGAGATAATTATTCTATTGCCTTGGAATGGTACCACTGGTTTCTTCAGTGCCTTTTGTTATAATGAATGCTGTGAGTTATATGCAGCTTATATTTCCTGTTCTTATGAAGCCTCATTTCTAGGTTGTTTAGTCACAATGGATTCCGTGAAAGGACAAGGGGGCATTCAAATGCTGCTAACTGCTGAACAGGAGGCCCAACAAATAGTTTCTACTGCTAGAAACTGTAAATTCTTGTCCATATGTTTATTTGCTAAAGTTATGATCTTACATTGGGAATTTGGAATGGTCCCATCGATTGGCTCTCATGTAATGAATAGTTGTTGTTCTCCTGTCTAGTAGTTCTTTTTCTTGTTTTCCTTTTTATATACTGGGTCAATCTCTCTTTCTTTTTTTTCTTTGTTCTCTATCATTGTGTACTAATCATAGCAACTCTTTCACTTCAGCGAAAATGACAAGGTTGAGGCAGGCTAAAGAGGAAGCTGAGAGGGAAGTGACACTCCATCGTTCCCATTTGGAATCTGAGTACCGGAGGAACATTTCCGAGGTAGTATGTGGTGCACTTAAGATCATATTCGTTATTATCTATCAATAGGAACACTATTGCCACCATTATCGTCATCATTGTCAGCTGTGTTACAGTTATTGTTATTGCAGTAGGCAACCTCAACATCCTTTTCATCACCTTTTGCTCACAGTATTCTTGTTTCTTGTTTTGCCTTGTATTATTTTTTATATTGCAACACTAAAGGAAATTATAGGTTCCCTTTTGGTCTTCATTTTGATGTGAATATTCATTGTTTCTTGTTCTCTTTTGATCTACACAGACAAGTGGGAGTTCTGACTCAACTGTAAAGCGGCTTGATGCAGAAACTGAAATAAAGATACAGAACTTGAAGGAAACAGCCTCAAAGGTATCCCCAGAAATCGTCGGAATGCTCATCAAGTGTGTCACAACTGTGACAACTTGATGCATGAAGGTCAGTGAACTGGTTCATCTACTGTCATTAAATGATATGCCCTGCTTTGTAATTTGTGACCCTTGCCTTTTTTCACAAGCTGATCCTGAGTCAGGTAGGCAGCCCATAATTTTGAGTACCTGAATTGAGAAAGCAATATATTCCACATAGTGGTAATTGAGCTTTGAATCGAGACTCGGAAGTTTGCATTATAAAACTGGCGCAATATATATGTACCTTATCAAAACCTTGAACTAAACATGGTACAGATGAAATAGGGCAAGATGGCAGACCAATGATTACCATTGGTATGGATTAGTTTGGAATGAATTCTCCAATCTCATCTCATGTAAAGAATTTGCTATTTTTTGCCTTTATACTAGGCTTAGTTGAGATTTGGTTCTGGGGACTATTAATACAGTTCAGGACAGGAGTGAAACCCCATTATGCATTCTGTTTTGATTTTTAGCTTGAACATTGAAAAATGTTTTTTACCTTACTTGTTTCATCATATTGTTCTCAAAGCTAGTAAGTAGTAACTATTCATTTCATTGCTTGAATACTTGTACATTCCAGCAGTTCTTGATCATCTACTTTAAAGTTTGAGTAAATTATAATTTTTTTCCCCTTGGTGATGCTGATGCTAAATATACTTTACTTGCTTTCCATCACAGAGTACTGACATTTGAAGGCGAACCGGGCAATAAATGAAGGGCATATCTAGGCGCACGAATCAAATAAGGGCATTGTTTGAATCTTTAGGAGTCTTTACCTGCTTAGCATTTATATTTTCATCTATTTTCTATTATTCTGGGTAACATTCATGACCATGTTGGGAAGCAAATTTTACCTAGGCATCTGAAAGAAATTCTGTTCTTTACTCTGCCTCAATCAATGGAAGTACAAAGTGGAATCAGAACTATATGGATAAAATGGGGGTAGAGATTGACGAATAGTTGTTGTGTTTGGCTTAGGTTGTGCTGATCATATACTCCATGATTCCTTTACTTTCATGTTTATGCAGTTTCTTGTTCACAAATTTGTCTCTTTTTTTTTTCGCATGAGAAACATACACATCCAAATCCACTCCTTTTTGATTGAAAGGAATTCCTAGGAATTCAACTAACCAAGTAAATAGAACCAATAGAAGCAGAGGAAATAACATAGTATTGTCCCATTCATAAGGATACAAATAAGTCTTTTTAATGCCCTGTGAATCGTCGGAATCTGGAAGAATCAATTCAACATGCTCTAAAAGGAATTCCAGGAGAGGAAGAATCTCAGTGAAATCGACGGAATCTAGAAGAATCAATTCAACATGCTCCAGAAGGAATTCCAGGGGGCCTTTGAGAAATTAGAAATCCAATTGAGATTGGGATTGGGATAGTAATTCTGCCATAAAAAGACTTATTGTGTCTTACCTTGTTCTTGCCAAGAAAAAAATGTAGTAACAATCTATATAATAAAGGAAAACGATTTTGAATTCAAGAGACAAAGAGCGGCTCAGATTGTTTCATAACCAAAAAATTCGTAATTTAACGGACGACGTTATCTCAAACTGTCTCATGCTATTGACGTCTTATATTGTTTTGATCCGACGTACCATATTAGCTCTTGAAAATTTTTTGCCACTCAAAACTTTTAGTTTCTAAAAACTAATATTACTAAATTTAATTCTCCAATCCAATCAAATCTGGCAATTAAGCGATCTCTCATTCCTCAACTCTGTCTCTCTCTCCCTAAAATACATATTACAACTCTTATCATTATTTCTCTGATTTTATTTCTTATGTTAAGGGATCACTTTCTATACTGGGATATTGATTTTCCCTCACACTCTCATCTTTTACGATTCTCTTTCCAAACTGAGACACATGTCTCCCCAAAATTCTATCCTAATGCAGCTGCTCTCCACTTTACTGTTCATATCACACACACATCTTTATTGTACATGTATATAGTACACAAATCGAAAACATACTATATGTACATGTTATATCTTAGGAAAAGTTTCATCTAAACACCATGTAGTTGAGTCTAAATTCAATGACAACCCCTATAACAATCAATTTTGTTTCTATCAGTAGCTAAAATAATGATTTAACTAAATATTTGATGGAAATATTAAAATTACTCTTTATTATGTAAATAGACTAAAATGTCATCAATTTTTTTTCCATTATATATGCGCTAGCCAGCCAACAAACGTAATTTCAATTGTTATATTATCTCAATGATTTTTTTATTTTAAAACATTGTATTATAACTTTGTTATAATAGTAGTCATCATATTATCACTCATTTGGTTATATAATCAAGTTTTTATAATTTTTATATTTTTTTATCATAATAATTTTTATAGTTAAAAATGATTTTTCTATAATAAAAATTACAATTGATAAAGTCAATGTCAAAATCTCATTCATTTCTAATTCCTCTGTTATCATATGTTCTTATATCCATACAAATCTATTTAATAAAACACACATGAAGTTGAATTTTATCCCTTATATATTTCTCATCTCTTAAACCCATCACATCACTCATTTTTGTCGCATGCTCAACGATTTAATATTTAATTAATTTATAATTTAACATAATTTTTATTTTAGATATTATCAATAGTATAGATCTGTTAAAAAAAATTATCAAATTACATATTTTGAGAAAATTTTGTCAATATTTTGAAGAACATAATGGATAAAAATAAATTATGAATGATTTTAATCAAACAAATGAAATAAAGAAAAAATGTTATTTAATATAGTAATATCGATTTTTTAGAATTCAAATTTTTTGTTTTATTGTGCCTTCAGGCACGGGTTATGACTAGTCTATATAATAAAGTAAAATAATTTTAAATTTAAGAGACAAAAAATGGGTTAGATTATTTAGAGATAAAAAAAGGTATCATCCAACGACTGACGATATTTCAAACTGTCTAAAGCTATTGACGTCTCAGATCGTTTCGATCCGGCGTACCATATTAACTCTTAAAATGTTTTGCCGCTTAAAACTTTTAGTTTCCAAAACTAAAATCCCTAAATTAATTTCCAACCCAATCAAATCTGGCAATTAAGTGATCTCTCATTCCTTAATTATGTCTTTCTCTAAAATTCAGATGACAACTCTTATCATTATTTCCCTGATTTTATTTCCTATGTTAAGGAATCATTTTCTATATTGAGACATTAACTTTCTCTCACGCTCTCATCTTTCATGATTCTCTTTCCAAACTGAGACACATTTCTTCCCAAAATTCTATCCTAATGCAACCACTCTTCATCTTTACTGTTCATATCACACACACATATTTACTGTACAAATATATAGTACAAATATAAAAGATATACTATATCTACATGTTATATGTAGGAAAATTTTTATCTAAACACCATGTAGTTGAGTCTAAATTCAATGACAATCTTTGTAACAATAACTTTTGTCTCTATCAATAAATAAAATAATGATTTAACTAAATATTTTGTGAAAATACTATAATTACCTTTTATTATGTAAATAGACTAAAATATCATAAATTCTTTCCTCATTATATTATTCCAATAAATTTTTTATTTAAAACGTTGTATTATAACTTTGTTATAATATTAGTCATCATATTATCACTCATTTAGTTACATAATCATGTTTTTATAATTTTTATATTTTTTAATCATAATAATTTTTATAGTTAAAAATAATTGTTTTATAATAAAAATTACAATCGATTAAGTCAATGTCAAAATCTCATCCATTTCTAATTTTCTTGCTATCATATGTCCTCCACAACGTCATCCGACCGCTCCTCACACATCATATTTCATATATAAAATTTAAAATTATTTGATAAAATTTAATATTAATTAAATAAATTTGATCTTAATTTTGAAAAATTTAAATATTAATTTGATTGAATTTAATGTTAATTGAATAAATTTGAAATTTTTTTTTTATAAAATTAAATGTTCATTTGGTGTTAAATTAAAGAAATGACATTAATTTGGTAAAGTTAAATTTTAAATTAATGAAAATTAATATTTTATTTAATAAATTAAATAGTTTAATTTAATAAAATTGAATGTTAATTTGATGTTGATTTGGTAAAAAAAATAATAACTTAATATTAAATTAAAGAAATAATATTAATTTGATGAAATTAAATATTAAATTAATATAACTAAATGCTAATTTGATAAAATTAAATATCAATTTTGTGTTAATTTGATGAGATAAAATGTTAATTTACTTTAAATTAAATAAAAAAAATTAATTTGATAAAATTGAATATTAAATTGATTATAATAAAGGCTAATATAATATAACTGAAAATGAGTGCATTAAAATTTCAGAATCAAAAAAGAGTGTTGTTAAAATTAGGTCTATTTACAAGGGGTGTTGTTAAAATTAGGTTTATTTATAAGGGGTGTGGATAAAATTTACTCTATAAAATACTCGGGATATTTTAAATCAACCATTGTCATTAACGGTGTAACCCAACAATCACTAGTAACAGTGAAATTTCAAAATCGGAAGGAGGTGTCATTGAATTTAAGCCTAACTAAATGAGGTATGGATAAAAATTTTCCTTATATCTATACAAATTTGTATAATAAAATACATAGGAAATTAAATTTTATTCCCTATACATTTCCTCCCTCCAAAACCATCACATTACTTATTTATATTATATGTTCAATCATTTAATATTTGATTAATTTATAATTTAACAAAATTTTTATTTCAGATATTATCCATACACAATAATATAGATCTGTTAAAAAAAATTATTTAATTACATATTTTGAAAAAAATTTGTCAATATCTTTAAGAAAATAATGGGTAAAAATAATTTTTGAATGATTTAATTAAATAAATGAAGGAAATAAAAATTATTATTTAATATAGTGATCTCGAATTTTTTGTTCTATCGTGCCTTCAGACACAGGTTATGACTAATAAATCAATAGGTCTTCAAATCATTTATTTTTAAATATGAAAACCATAAAACACATGAAACGTTTCTATTCAATGAAAAATGAAATAAATTAGTAATTGAATATCAAAATTCTTATGTTTTGTCGGTGTTTCAAGGTATTTTTGAAGTATTTCGGTGTATTTTGATCAATTTTTTTAAAATAAAAAATAAAATAAATTTGTTTCTAAGGTGAACTAAAAAATGTGGCAAAATAAACATTTGAACCTTTATAGTGCTAGGGACTGAGTTGGGACAAAATCAATATTAGAGCCAACCTTCCCTCTTAAACCAGTCCCACAGGCCACAAGAGAATGTGTGGTATCGTGTGGTGAGTTGCCAAGTTCAAAGTTTTTGTTTCAGATTGCCTGGTAAATTGTGTGAAGCGTGCCTACGAACTTTAGACCTTCGTCGCTTAATTCTTCTAAGTGCTCGGCCCGTGAAAGTCGATAATATTGTATAATTAGTTATTTTTTGTGTCTGAAAGCATAGAGTAATAAGAAAAATGATCAATAATAAACATATTTGTATTCACACTTGAAATCAAAAATACAAATATAGAGGATAGAAGACAAAATTTAAGCACTGGTTGTAGTGGGGGTGAACGGTAATATTGGTAATGGGCGGCAGTGGAGATGGTAGGAAACGGTGATAGTTATGGTGGGTGGTGACGACTGTCGTGGTAATGGCAGTTGTGAATGACAATAATGATGGTAGTGAGTTTTGGGTGACAATGATGGTAGTGAGTTTTAGGTGACGATGGTGGTAGTAGTAATCATGACTGACGGTGGTAGTGGTGGTGGTAGTGGGATAACGACAGTGGTGGTGGTGGGTCATTGTAGTGAGTGGTGGTGGGGTGCTGAAAGTGAGCGACGTGGTATTGGAATGATGGTGATAATTGTAATAAATATAAGAATGAGATAACGGTGGTGATAGGTGGTGGCGATGGACGGCGGTGGTAACAATTGATGGTGGGGGCAATGGGGGGTGAAAGTGAGGCAGTGATAGGAGACGATGGTGGGAGTGGTGGTGGGATGATAGCGGTGGTGGTGGTAGTAATTGTGGGGGTGGGACAGTGCGGTGGTAGAGGTGATGGTAGGATAGTGACGACGGTGGTAGGGTAACGGCAACGATGGTGGTGGTGGGATGACAATGGTGGTAGTAAGGGGGGTGATAGGGTGGCGGCAACGGTGGTGGTGGGGGTAGTGATGGTGATGGTGGAGGGGGTGATGGTGATAAGGGTAGGGGTGGTGGTGGTGATGGTGGTGGGGGGTGGAGGTAGTGCGATGGTAACAATAAATGTAGTAGTGGTGTTGGTGAGGCGATGGTGTGTGGTGGTGATGGTGCTGGGGTGGCGGTGGTGGTGATGATGGTGGGGCAATGGGGGTGGGTTGTGATAGTGGTAGTGGTGGGATAGTTCAAAACACTATTTTTTTTAAAGTAATTATGAGAAATTACAAATTTTAGAGACACTTTTAAAAAGTTATCTCAAACACACATTTAGAAACCTATTTTTTTATAATTTGAAGTGTTAATATTAACACTCAGATTAATTTTGAAATAAAATTTAAAGAGATCTCAACCGCGAAAAATAAAAGTCATTTTGTTTATATTTTCAGATTTGAATTGTATTGTACTTTTATTATATAGATTATATAAAAATTTCATCTCCTTCCCGCTGAGCACAAATTGTGTTGTTACTATCCTATAGGGTGCAATTTGAACGAGTCAACCCATTCTGGGTCTATAAATATGGATAATTTTTTTAGGTTAAGTCCCTTTTTAGATTTTTAAGAGAAAAAAACACATCTTTTACATTGAAAGTTTCCACCACCAACCTAAAATTTTAAACCTAAAGATCATCACTAGAGATTCTACTCAAACCTCAAAAGTTGATGATAAAGATCTTGATAGTTTATAACCAAACTCATTGGTGTGTGCAAACCGAGAGTCTTGGGTGTGAAGCATTGAAATTTGCTTGAGGCTTAAATGAACCGTACGACAAAGAGTTCAAGTGAAGCTAATCATAAAGTTGAAGGAGGGCATTTGGCAGAGAGATCTACGAAGGAAACTAGCATCTAGCCATGTAAATTAGTTGAGGTATAAAACTTGAGTATCTATAGATTAATTGTAGTTTTACTGAATTAGACTTTTGTGAACCAAGAAGGTTCCCTGTACACACACACACTATGTGTTTGATAAATTTATTGTTTGAATTTACATATCACATATACTTATTTGATTAAGTTTTGGTAGCCTTGGTTGGGAAGGTCATGTGAGATTGAGTGCTAATCAACAAATTGATAAAATCAATACACTAATCTATATGAGTATTTTGGGTTGTGATTTAAAAGGGTTTTTACATTAATTGTTATATCTTTGTGATAAGAGGTAATTGTGGTCGAATTGAGTTAAAATTGGTGTTTGTCTAAGTAAAATTTTTAGTAATATACTCATCACTCTTTAGGTTTAACGTGCGATTCCTCGTATATAATTGAGTGGAAAGATCCTATACGTAAAAATGTTGTACTTTTTCCACAAAAATATTGTGTAATGATGGCGTGTTCGATAATTTTGGTGTTCTAACAACGTGGAAATTTTGGCCAAATTTTATTGGTGCTCAAATGGATTTTTATGTTCTCTAGTTGATTCTTATTTTTTTGTACTTAACAATTTTTTTTTTATATTATACAATTCCTTTAAGCATCAACATTAACTAGTACATATACATATATCAATGTATTAAAGCACAAAAGCCACTGACCTACCCCTTTCCCCCCTCTGCCACCGCTCCTTCACCCCCCCCTCTTTTTTTTCTTTCACTTTTTTGTTATCGAATTAGGTGGATAGATAATTTCATCAAAATTGTTTATTTAAGGTAATTTTATAAAAATTTAATTTACTTGAATCAGATTGGATATTCAATTATTAACAAATTCGGATTTAAATTATGATTTTGATATCCATCGGATTATCACATTAGTTCAAACTCGATTTTTTAAAACAGATTTGAATTCAAATTGACTGAAATCTGGTTTGAATCTAATCTGTTAACAGGCCTACTTGTGTGTGAGTATTTTCATACACACATTTTTTTTCCCCTTATACTCATTGCCATCGTGTTATGGATGATAAATTCAATAATTAATGTAAGTGAGTAGTTAAAATCTAAATAGGTTAAATTATTTAGGACGATCAATGTACTTTTGTGGATAAAAGATTAAAATAGAAATATATAAATTTATTTAAAAAATTAAATATAAAATAGATAAATTTATTGTAATTTGTTTTTATCAATAGTTATAAAAACAATTCTCTGCTTATTTAGTTGAGCTGTTTCAATTCTCTGCTTTCTTGGATTTTCTTGATCTCTTCCTTCTAGGGTTCCCAATTGTTCTTTACTTCTTTAAAGTTGTCCAGAAGCAGATGCACTCCTGAATCACGGCACAAAATGGTGAATAGTCAGAGCCCACAAGAGCTCATAGGCTCATACTTCCTCGATTTCTGGCGACTCAACTCCAAGACAACCTCCACAACCCCAAACCCAGAAATGATGGACGAAGAAGATGACGAACTGGGTCCCACTGAGCTCGACACCTTCACCAGCTCCGGTGGGTACTCGGTAGTGGGCACTGACAAGCTCTCGGTTCACTACCCGAGCGTCAATCTTCACGGCCATGATGTTGGTGTGGTTCAGGCCAATCGGCCGGCCCCGGTGAAGAGGCTGGTGTATTATTTCGAGATTTTTGTTAAGAATGCTGGGGCTAAAGGCCAAATTGCGATTGGGTTCACCGCTGAGGGTTTCAAGAGGCACCGACATCCTGGGTCAGTAATATGACTTATGTTGTATGTTTTGTTGGTTTCTTGATTCTGGGTCTTGTGCATTTTAATGAATTTTCGAGTCCTATAATGCATTTAAGTAGTTCTTTAGGCTTGTATATGTACATTCATGTGCGTGCGTGATTTACTTGTATAGAGTGGTTGTGTTCTCCGTGTTACTTCTGCTGTTCTGGGTTTTCCTGAATTTTGAGTTTTATCATCCATTTGAGTCCTCGTAAATTGCATATGCTGAGTTTGGAAGCCTGCGGAGAAAATAGAGTGGTTTTTTACGTCTTATTGGTTATGTGGTGGTTTGAATTTTTAATGCTATGAATTAGATTAGTACATTATTTAATCACAATGCTAAGTTGTATTGAAATTTTTGTTTTCGAGTTCATTATCTTTAGTTATATATTATATGCTTTCACTTGCCGTGTGTTTGCCACAAGACAGTAAATGGAAAAAGTGAAATAACTATGTAAATATTATCTTCATGCTTGGTGAGTGGCTGTCATAGTTTTCCTTATGTTTTTCCTCAGGATTGAATTAGAGGATAGCTGAGGATCTTTTAGTTACCCCCTGTAAATGCTGTGGCAAAGTAGGATGTTAGGATGCCAAGAAGGTGATTAAATGTTTACTTTGCTTTTGAGTTGAGTTGAGTGCAACTGGAGATGCACGTACAACCTGGGTAAATGCATACAAGGCGTCAGCTAATTGTGCACAGATGGTTTTGCCATTTGTCTCACTATTATGATTCAGTGATTCTTGAATATATTGGCCAGTTAGGTACTTATTGACATGCTCCCATGCTTTGAATTAGGATGAAGGTTTTGCATTGACTTACTCATTCATAGGATGGGAGATAACCCATCAACCATTACTTATTAATATCAGTTGTAAATAGAAAGTAGAAACATACTTTTTGACTTGAAAGGAAGGGTACAATTGTAACGCACCAAATTTTGAAAAAGGCTTCAAGTAATAGGAAAACCATTAAATCAAGAAATTCTCACTGGTTTGAAAGTAATTTCGCAAAAAAAGAAACGTTTGCTATAATAAAACTTATATATTGAAAATACAGTGGATTTTGAGTTGAAAATTGGGCATTCACTTGAATGGAAAGAGCAACTTGTGTGAGCATCCTATGTCACAAACTAACCAAAAATTATCATTATCCATTCATCGCAATATCAAAGTTATATATCATACAACAAAAACCCAACTCCAACGTATTAATATCTCTAAAATCTAAAACTTGAGTACAATAATAACCCAGAATTTCTGACTCAAAATAGTCACAATTGTGAAGTTTGTATGTAACTCAAATGACAAAACAATCAATTAACTAACTAAGCATCTAATCCTCAAGCCTTAGCCTCTTGATTTAATGTGTCGGTATTCAAACTAACATCTGGAAATTATTAAAGGGGTGTAAGTAAGGGGTGTGCACAACTAGCTCCGTAGAAAAATCTTTTCCAAACCTAAATAAGATTTTAAATACATATGAAATCAGGTCAAGTCACAGTTCAAAAATATATGTACAACTTTGAGCAAAACATGTGAGTAACGATGATCTCAAATATTTTATGCATGAGATAATTGCATAATCACCTTTCCTAGGCATAGTTACTTCAAACATCTCAATTTCCCCCAACAGGCAAATCATTCGCGCAACACCAAATTACGCAGTTATTTTCCTACCTAGAGTTAGGCTTCCTAGCACCCATTTAACTATTGATATTCTATTTTAACATTTTAAATAAATAGATAGGGTCTTACAACACCGTAAGGAATGATACATTCAGAGATGGTGGAAAAGGGGAAAAAGGGAAGACTTTCTCTTGTAGGGGGGCGGGGGCAAAGTTGCCTCAAAACATTTTTCGTTGGAAAACTCGGCCTCTAAAGGTTTTAAGTTGCTTACCAAGTTTTCGGTTAAGATAAACTCACTAGCAAAGTTGGATTTTTTTTCTCATCACAGACCTTGTAGAGCCAAATATGTCAAACTTCATGAACTGAATGGTCGCAATGTACAAGCCTTGATAATTGAACTTCATACATCCTACATGGCCTCCATGCCAACTTAGGGGAAAAAAATTCGAATTCCTTGCTTCTACTTCGTGCAAACATCAGCTTGAACCTTACAAGTTGAAAATGCTATAGAGGAGTGGGGTGAGGCTTGCGATCTGCTGGCTTTGCAATCTCTTAGCCCTAAAATATCTACTTGTGTTTACTAAACATTGTTGAGCATGAAAATGACCAACTAAAGTATTAAGTGAAAACTTCACTTTATCTCCTTTATGCTGACCCTTTTTGGTATATCAATCCTCATTTAAAAAAAATAGATACATTGCCACTATATGATTTATGGACTCAAATGCACAAATGACAATTTCTTTTCAAATTAACAACTTATAACCCATTCGCCTATTCTGCGATTGGGCATACTAGACTATTGCCTAAAGAAAAAAATACACTTAAAGCATCATAGAATTACAAAATGCCATTGATTGAACCCCTATACATCCCCTTCTATGTTCTCTCTTTCTCTAAGATAAGAAATGATGTAAATATATAATTATAAATGAGTACATTCGTGAACATATAAAAGAAGCACTAATAGGAGATAAATAATGATAGAATCGGCTTAGAAGGTTTGAACATATTTACAAAAGATCTAGTAATGCACCAATAAGGAACAATGATTTGATACATATTAATGGTAGTGCGAGAGATGTAGGCCTAAAATAATTTTGAACGAAATAGTAAAAAAGCTTGTGATAGAGAAAAAGAAGACCCTTAATAGAGTGCAACGAAGAAACATAATTCATTAGTTGACCCCAAATAGTTGAGATTAGGTTTTGTTGTGCTGAGTTAAATTGCTTTCCCCCTCTCTCTCTTTCTCTCACTCTCTCTCTCTCCTTTCATAGCTAGGCGCAACCAATGTTTTCTCCCTTCACTAATTCTTCTTTCTTTTTTTCAATAGTAGCTGCCCGTTAATAATTATCAAAAGCCAACCCCCACCCCACCCCACCCCACCCATTGACAACCCTCTAGCCAAAGCCGATAGCGAACTCTTTGCACAACAACAACTTTGTTTGTGAAATTTTTTAGCGTGGGTTGAGACAACTCAACCATAGAAGACCTAATCAAGGTCTTTATCAAGATAGACTGGTTACTATTTTTTATGATAAAAAGAAGTTTATTTTAAAAAGAAGAACAAAATATCATGTTGAGGATAAGATATCCCGAAAAAAGCAAAAACAAAGTATATAATTTGTAGGGAAGACACCACAAGAAATGAAATAAATTGAAGGATAACTACTTTTCAATTTTGCTGAAGATCCAACAAAAGGCAACACTCTAAAATTTTCCTTGGATTTAGTCCAAAGTGAAGCTATGAACACAATTCTTTCCCATACTGATTTTGAAGGTAAATAACGATTTTGAAAAATTTAGCATTCCTCGTTATCCAAGAACAACAAAGAAGCGTCATCAATGAGCAATTCTAGAGTATCTTTGCTTTCTTGTCCATCCCAAAACCACAAAATTTAATTTGCAATGGCATCTCCATTGTATAAGAATAAACTCAATCCTCACCAATCAGATTGAATAAAATATTCCACAAACCATATGCAAATGATTATTAACACTTCCACGACCACATCCAATTTTAACCAACAAGTCTCTCTCCCCCTCTTGTTCAGTCTTTGTGCCATATGTTTTAATGTGAGATGAGTTTTTTTTATTAATTAAAATAAAAATTGAAGGTTCTGACTAGTGGTGTTCATTAGAGGATTTGACTGGGTGGATTTGGGTGTTGGCGTAGTCTGTGTATTTGTGTTGTTGAGCGTGGAGGCTAACTTATGGTGATGTCTTGATTTATGGGTGATGCATGTTTGAGGTGCAATTGAGATTTTTTATTTAGGGGGGCCCCGCCGGGGGGGGCAGTGTGACTTTTTCATTAAGTTTTTGCTTTGACAATTCTAAAGTTATAGCAAGTTTCTTACTAATGAATCAATAGTTAGATTGTTCCATTTGAGATCTCTTACTCTATCAAAGCGTTGAATTTCTAAATTCTCATAGGGCGCAATGGTGAATGGACAATGGAATAGTGATGTGTGGGTGGAGGTTGTGTATAAATGGGGTGATGCATGGTGAATGGGTGGATTGTTTTGAATTGAGTGTGATGAATGGGTGGATTTTATTTGAATCGGAAGTGGTGATTGCTTTACGTAGCTTTTGAAGATGTTGTATTGGTGGAGATTTTCCTTGGGTGGCGTCTTGAGGGATAGACGATATATGGTGAAGGGACAATGGTGGTGGGTTGGTGCACCAAGGGATGGGTGATGCGTGGGTGCAAGTTTGACAGTAGATCGGTGAGACAAGGGTGGAGGTTCAACAGTGGATGGATAATATGTGGAGGTGCAACAAATAAATTTTTTTTTTTTGGGGCAGGGGTGTCACAGTGACCGACTAATTTTGTTTTGTAATAGAAAATTAGTTTATGGATATTTAAGTCATTTCACTCTATCCCTCATGGGCAAGGGGGTCTAACCACATGCGATAAAATGAAGCTTCCCTCATTATCTTGAAAGTTTTAAAAAGCGAGTTTTTAGTACATGCAAATTGATTTATAGAATATTGTGAATTTTCATTGAGCCTCATCTAGGTAGAGGGCATTTGAAACGACTTCATTATCTATGTGGATTTAGGGCATTGTTATCAAAATTGTACGATTTATGATCCAATTTGATTTAGTTTACATTTGATTCGTATCTTACTATAAAATCTTTTTTAGCCGAAATTGCACTTGAATCAAAGAAATTGCTAGATTCGTTTTCTTATTTTTTAAACCCTACTTATAGTAAATCAACGTCGTTTTGATAGAAGAGGCCCATCAATAAATATAAAACTCTCGTCTCTCTCAGTATGTCCTGTTCTCGTCTCTACCCTCTCAATCGATTGTCAAACATTTGTGAACATCACATCACACAGAGACGACGTCTCCTTCACTCCAGATATGCTTCTTCTTCTTTAAAAACAGTTACCAAACCCTAACATACCGTACTTATTCTTCGTCTTTTTCAATAAATGCTCTATTTTTTATTTTTCATCAAAAAATTATATTCAATCGAATGTGGGAAGTGATTTTTTAAGGTTATATGTTCGAATCAATATGAGCTTTTCCTATTTTAGTTTAGCTGCATTGTTAGGAAGACAATAACTATTTGTTGGTTAAAAATCATGCATCTTTCATCGTGACCATTTTAAGAGAATGATTTATTATGCATTAACAAAGAAGTATTAGAGGTTCAAACTCAAGTCTATCTTTATAAGTATTTATAAAAGTTAGCATCTTTCCATTTAGACGACGCGATCATGTCAATACCGTTAATTGATTATTTTTAAAATACAATAATGTTCAATATTTTATATCTTGCCCATTTTAAATATGTGCATTTTTTTATTAATCATAGTTCGAATTTTGTGTTGAATCTTATATGATTCCCGATTTGATACTTAAGATTTCGATTCCCGATACGAATCTCGATTTGATAACTATGATTTAGGGAATAATGATGTGCTTTTTGCAAAGTGATTTAGGTCATTCAGTAGTTGAAGAACTATTTAAAGTTAAGGTACAGAGGGACTTGGTGGTCTTAAATTTTTGGTTTGTTGACTTCTACTAAGGATGGAAATGACTGGGAAACCATGGGCAATTGAGGGAGATTCTGATGGTTTTGCTTTTCTTTTGGTTGCATTTGATTGTTTGAGTTGCTAGGTTATAAATATTTGTGATGCATTTTGTGAGAGAATGGATGAATACCTTGTTCCGATATTCTATGAATTCCCTCTTGGTGAAGCACTAATGCTTTCCTACCTTTAAAAGGTGGATATGGTTTTGATAAGGGTGCAACTTGAGCAGGTTTGGCGGATTGAGAGTTCAACCTAGGCTCAATCCAAGTCATAAAAACCCATCCTGGCCTCAACCCAAATCTAACTTTCAACCTGAACACTTCAACCCGAATATTGGCAGAGTCTGGATTTTTGTATTTGGGTTAAACTTGGGGTGTTCATTTTTGGGTTGAAAAACCATGAAGCTTCCTAGTTCACTCAACTTGCAGATCTGCATATGTAATAGTCCTAAGACAAAAAGTTTTCCTGTGCATGGGAGAAGTGCCCAGAAATTGTAATCTTTTAGTTGGACAGTCAACAGATTACAAATGTATTGCTGTCATTGCATCAGTTTATAATTGAATCTGCAGTTTCTCCCTCAAATATATAATGTCCTGTGGTTCTCAATCGTATTTCTATCACCTCCAGGTTTAAAGGTCTTACATTTTGCATCACAGCACCACCAACGAAATGGAGAACATGAAAAATCTAGGTGGAGATGAGAAGTGAGAAAAGAAGGCGTGGTGTGAAAGGAGAGCCTGAGTGGCACATATGCCCTTTTTTTTTTCATAAATATTATTTTCCATCTTATATGCTGGCTTGAATTCGGGTTCAACCAACCCTGAAAACCGGACACCTTAAATGGGGTTAGGAATCTTTGCCTTGGTACTAATTACTTCGCATTGGGTTTGGGTTGAATTTGGTTGGCCTCTCCCAAGTTACACAACTAAGTTTTGATTTGGCAGTTTCATTCAGGAATTTGGTTTGCGCTTTGCATCCTCCTTTGTTGTCTCTCATACCAGATGAATGTTGAATATTTCATCGTATATTTTGCATGCTTTGTTTGTTCCTTTTAGTTTACTTGAGATTTATCTTGGCCCTTTTTGGTGTAATAGCTGGGAAGCAAACAGTTATGGGTATCATGGGGATGATGGACTGCTTTATCGTGGACAAGGAAAGGGAGAGGCATTTGGCCCAACTTATACAGCTGATGATACAGTTGGTGGTGGAATCAACTATGCTTCACAGGAACTTTTTTTCACGTAAGATAGTTACTCATTGCATACTTGTATAGAGTGGAAGATAGGTAATGTTCCATTTGCCCTTGGGTTCATCGACGACTGTAGAGGATTGTGACAACCAGCTTTATGGTTTCCATAAAATTAAATCTTGTGAAGCTGTCATTAGCTTCTTTATTTATCTGTCTTTATTCTTTGTCCAAATTTCATAAATTTTTGTTGTATTGTTTTTTATGCCAGAAAAAATGGGGCAGTTGTAGGAACAGTATACAAGGATGTGAAGGGTCCCTTATTCCCAACTATTGCTGTTCACAGCCAAAATGAGGAGTATGTTGCACCGCCTTCTTTTGTTACCCCTTCATATATGTATATTTTTGAATTTCTGTCATTTATCATTCAAGCAAATCTAGAAGTTGTTGGTTCTAGACTTGGGGCACGAAGGTGAGAACTGATGTTTCAATGATGTATAAAATAAATGCTTTAAGATTTATGAATGGACGTATATGCTATTGTTGTGTAATGGAAATATCTATTTAATTGCTAAATCTCATAATTGTTTTATTGACGCAAATTGCTCATTCCTTCCTAGTTCCTCTTAGTTGTTTTGTTTCCTGTTATTGAGTTAACTTAGTTTGCAGAATTACTTCTCAGAATAAAAAAATAAATAGTTGAATTAGTTTGGAGAATCTAGTTTTTGGCTGAAGCAATGTGTTTTCCCTCTACAAATGTTTGCATAAAAATACATTTTGCCCCAGATTGCTCATATGCTGTTTGTGCAGTTTGGTTGGATGCATAGTACAATGAACTGGCATGGGTCCTCAATCGGTTGGTTTGTCCTCTAGGAAATTGGATGTGGCACCTGGTGCATTTAACTGCTCTAATTGGCTGTACCAAAAACTTAAGATTTGATCCCATAGGTTTTGGAGATTTATTAGTAAGTGTGGAGGGTCCTTTTCTTTGTCGTGTAGCACATTCTTACCTTTCGGATAGGAAAGATGATAAAAGGTTGTGGTGGGGTCTGGCAAGTAAGATTTACTCTCATCTAGGAATAGATTTCCTTTTTGGTAATGGGTCTTATAACAGTCTAGTGGGATGCATCACACTTTCATAGCTCTAGGGAACCAGCCCATGTGGCAATAATCAGGAAAAAAAAAATATTATGTGGGCTATGACTCATTAGAATTAGCTGATTTAAATAATATATTTATATTGTTTATTAGTTGACTAATTTTGAAAGTTTGTAACCATTTATTTTGAGAGATGTTAACCATGAATCTACATTCCCTTGGGACAAAATTGTCGGAATAACACTTCTATGAAGTGTACTCTTATCCCCTCAATTTCATTGTATATTAAACCAAACTGCGGCTTTTGATTTTTTCTTTTGCCCCTATAGGAATTATTTGTATTTCCTCTAGCAAATATAACTTCAATTGACATTTTAACCACTCACTGCGTTACAATTGAGAGAAATTTTGTAAGTCAGAATTGGGTAAAATAAGAATATGTGCATATGCACCAGTACATGGTGTCATGACTAAAGATGTTAAGTTGCATGGGCAGTCAAGCAGAGATCTGTGATCACTGAAGTAACCTGGAACTTAGTTGATGCAATTCAGATGTCGAGAATCTTGGTATTTTATTTGAACTTGGTCAATGCCATTTAGTTAGGAAATTCTAGAAGATTTTATTTTATTTCCTAATTTAATTAGGAAATTATTTTATTTTATTTATTGATTCAATTAGGATTTTATTTTATTTGATTTTCTTATTTATTTAGGATTCTAGTTCCCATTTGGTTTAGGGTTTTTGCTATTATATAAATTCTTGTAAACCTTAGGGCAAAGTGACTTTTGATGAAATAATATTTCGGAGAAGGTTGTCTCTCTTTTTCCCAATTATTCTATCCTTCTTAGAAATCAACAGATCAATTGAAACCTTTAGGACTAGTATTTTGCGTGAATCAACAAACCTATAATAGGATTCTAAACCGATAAATTTGTGCACAAATCAATGATTTGATTTTGTTCTGTTTCCTAACCCCTTTCTTGTTCCTTATACCCGTATTTTTATGCACTTTCCTGTGCTAGTTTCTACCATCTCAAAATTTTAGCCCCCAAAAAGTTGCCTGCAACTCCATCAAATCAAGCCATTCCTTATTTTATTTAAATTACTTTGATAATAGCCACCGTAAACACCTTCACAGAAATAGAGTTCTTCCAGTATTAGATTAAATCAAAAGGAGGAACAAGATGGTGGAACAATACATAGAGATCATCCACTTATATGTTGTCTTGAAATTCGGCGATGAAGAGATCAACACCTCTCAGGTCGTGTGATAGTCAATGATCAAAATTTTATTTCGGTGCATTGTTTTGAATGTTTCGACTTGTTTCGATTTCAAAACCAGGATTAAAAAAAAAATTTGAGAATTATTTTTTCAAAATATACTAAAACATCTTGAAACACCTTGAAATATTCTAAAACAATTGTGTAAATGCATCAAAATATTATAAAACACTTTGAAGGATTAGAATGTTGATTCCATTACTGATTCGTTTTAGTCTCCTTGGAAATGAAAATATTTTGGCTGTTTTGACTTTTTCAATACAAAATTTTAATCCTTGGTGATAGTATAACACCTTTTTGGTTCACCATTAGACATCACCTATGTTGACCAGTGGAGCTAGAAAAGATTTTGATGGGCATTCATTCCCCATGTGGAGGAACATACTCCATGAACATGGTTGTATTCCCAAGGATGCCGTTTTACAACTTTCATCTTTTGGGTAAAAACGAAATCAATAGTCATCTCAGAACAACGCTTAAATCAGTGATGAAATTCATCGCATTACCAACATCAAATTTTGGGAGCTACCCTCTTTAAATGTGGTATTTACTGTGGAATCCAGCAAATTTTCATCCACGGTTTAGCTTCATTTTGTTTCTCAACCCCTTTCTTGTTCGTTAGGTCCGTGTTTTTACACACTTCCCCACATCATTACTCTTATTTTGTTTAATGTTTCATTGCTAGTATGTTTTGACTTTCATTGCTAGTATGTATTGACTTTTTAAGATTCATAATGAGGGAATACACGAGTTTAAAACACAACTGTTACATGGTTGCACTGCCAAAGCCATTTTAGCACAGCTGTAGAAACGTTTCCATGACATCTAAAGGGACGGGTTCAGCCCTTGTTGCCTGCAAACGAAAAGATGAAAAGGAAATAAAAGAAAAGGGTACATGACTGCATTTAGCAATGGTTTATTTTATTTATGAAGTGATCTTACGATATCAAATACATGAATGGAACTATGAGAAAATCGAAGAGGTATTTGTACTGAAAATTATGATTCAACTCTAAAGTCTGCATTCTGCATGCAATAAGATTAAACCCCCGAAAAATGATATTTCCTTTCAACCTCAAAAGGATTCCTTTTTTTTTTTTTCACTTTTGTTCTTTTTATTTCTAATAAATTTTTGCATAATTAGATATGCACAGTCACACAGATTTATTTTGGTAGTTTTTGTCAGCAATGGCTCAAATTTAAGAACATATTTGAATAAGTCAGTGAACAAACCTTTATGATTGTTACCTTGTTGTATTTCTTCTTGCAGCACTTATTCTGCTGTACTAATACTTATTGTGCAGAGAATGAAAATCTGTTGTCTTGGATTTCTCCTTTCACTTATTGCTTCATAGAGGGAGGACCCATATACATATTCTTTAAGTATCTAAATTGTGGAGTTTCTGATGTTTGCAATTGCATGTTGATTCAATGTGCCAGGGTGAGTGTCAACTTTGGGAAAGAACCATTTGTTTTCGATCTTAAGGTAAGGAATACTTTCTTTGTTGTCTTAACCTACTTTTTAAAATTTGTCAAGCCTGGTTGCTACAGCTATTTTTATCGGTGCTGCATATGTTTTGCATAATATTATTTTGGTGCTTTTTCTTTTTGTAGGTAGGACTCCTAACATGCTCGTATTATATATTGATGACTTTGATGTTTTAATTAGGCATATGAAGAGCAGGAAAGAGCAAAGCAACAGATGATGATTGAAAAAATATCTGTGCCACAGAATGCCAGCTATGGGTAAGTTTTATATGATTTAAACTTCTCTTGTGCGAGGCATATTTAGTATTGGTGGTTTAAAGAAACATCTAAGCACGGATATGTTTAATATGAAAAGTCAGGCATGAGAATTGAACTGAACTGTTGAAATACTGGAGTCCAAGGGCTTTGAACTCGAATTCATGGCTTAGTATGAGAAGTCTAAATTGATGCCATTTTTCCCTCCTTGTGTGATATTTGAGATGATAAAAGGAAATTAGCCTTCTTTTTATCATTGAATTTGTTTAAAAAATGTCCAAAATGATCATTAGAGCAAAGCAACTTACTTAATGTTTGGGAATTTGAATTATGAGATGCCCACTAGATTTATCTCCTTTAGCATCACAAAGCATCCCCATGCTATTTCGAACATCCCCTGACAACTACAATTATGGAGATTGCATCTTGATCTCAACGTTTAGCACTATATTTCCTTTTGCTTCTATTTCTACCTCTTCATGGATAATCATAGAGTGTTTAAGGTTTTTTAGGCTAATGGACTTGATCACTTTATCCTTGCTAATCTGATAACTTGTTGCTTCAAGCACACATTTGGAGGAATCTCCCTTGTGCAACAGAAGGGCATGCAATTTTAATTTTTAGGAACATTCTTTGGCTTTATCTAGGAGGCTGTTGCCTGGAACACTTATTCAGCTAACAACATTGAGGGTATGGTAGTTGATTCAATCTGAATTATTATGAAGTTAGAGTTTAAGAGAATAAGAGGGAAGAAGAGAAAGAGATTAGAAAAAGTGTATCTTATATTAGGTTAAATAACTACACCAACATATATATAGTCATATAGTGCAAAATACTAAACTACCCTTCTTTTAATATTAATGCATAACGCAACACTCTGCCTCAAGTTGGTGCATAGATATCTCTCATTCCTATCTTGCAAACATCTTGCAAACCTTGTTACTAAGCTCTTTTGTGAAGATATCAACCAACTGATTCTTTGATTTCACAAACTCCATCAGCCATAGCTTTGTATTTAGCCTCTGCACTAGATCGTGCAACCATTGCTTGCTTCTTGTTGCGCCATGTGACCAGATTAGCTCCAATCAAAGTACAAAGTTGATCTTCTATCATCCACTGACCCTGTCCAGTCTGCATCACTAAATGCTTAGAGTTTCAAATGGTTATTATTGGAGAACAAGATCCTTTTTTCTGGAGTTGACTTAAGGTATCTCAAAATGCGATAAACAACTTCAAGATGGGAGATTCGAGGATCATGAATGAATTGACTGATAACACTCACTACATAAGCAATATCCGGTCGGGTATGTGATAGATAGATTAATCTCTTCACTAATCTTTGATATCTCTCATTTTCTACTACCTCACCAATACTACTACTTAGTCAATTGTCGACTTTAGTAACGGAATCGGTAGGTCCATATCCTAACATCCCTGTTTCTTTTAGAAGGTCAAGAGCATGCTTTCTTTGGGAGATAAAAATGTCATTCGACCTCGTAATCTCAATCCCATTGAAGTATCTCAATGGATCCAAGTCTTTGATTTCAAATTTCTTAGCCAACCGAGCCTTCAATTTGGTGGCCTCATTCTCATCATTTTCGGTTATCATTGTGTCATCCCCATACACAATGAGAACAGTGATCTTGTGATGAACATGATATGATCAGCCTGCCTTTGTTTATATCCAAACTTCAGCATAGCTTTAAGAAGCCTATCAAACTAGGCCCCGGGGGGTTGCTTCAATCCATAAAGGGACTTCTTCACTTTACACACCTTTCCTTTAGTCATTTGAGATGAAAAACCTAGAGGAATCTCCATGTACACATCTTCCGCCAAATATCTGTGAAGAAAAGCATTCTTTACATCTAATTGTTGCAAAGTCCACATCAAATTAGCTGTACAGGAGATGAGCGTACGTATGAAGTTCATCTTTGCCACAGGAGCAAAAGTCTCTTGATAATTAATGCCATATGTCTGTGTAAATCTTTTAGCAACCAACCTAGCTTTGTAGCTCTCGACAGACCCATCAGCTTGTTGTTTTCTCCACTTAGGATCAGCAAGAGTCTTTTTCCAATCTTGAGGTATAGATACAGAAGACAAAGAAGAAACAAATTTACGATAGGACAGGGACAAAGAATCATAAGAAACAAAGTTAGAGATAGGATGCTGAGTACAAGTACGGACACCATTTCTAACTGCAATAGGAAGCTCAGAGTCATCAACAACTGGATTATCCAAAACAGGAGTAACATCTAGAGATTCATTACCTGATAAATTGGTGGAAGATGGAACTGAAGTAGTGGAAGTCAACTAGTTCGGTGGCACATGGGTAATTTGTTCCTTTTGGCACCGGGCATAAGTCTTCAAATTATCCTTGTGAAGGTGATCACAAAGTGAATCACTAATATCACCTTGTTTCTCCATAAATTGTTGCTCCCCCTGACTAACATTCCCCTGAACAGGTATTGAACAGGTAATTGAATAAGGGGCTCTTGACAATACATCTCTTCCGTTGTGGTGACATTCTCCCCCTGCGGAGATGTATGATAAAAAGGCTCAATTCACGAAAGGTGATAACTATGCTAACATACATCCTTTGAGACTGTAGATGATAGCATTTATAACCTTTTTGGGTGGTAGAATAACCAACAAAGACACACTGTAATGCCCTAGGATCAAGTTTTTTCCCGGATGGTCAATAATCATGTACAAAACACACACATCCAAAAACTTTAGGAGGGAGAGAAGAAATAGAAGGAATGAAAGAAGACTCGGATAGACACTCAGTGGGGGACTTAAATTGAAGGACACTCGAGAGTAGACGATTAATAAGATAAGCAGTAGTGAGAACTGCCTCCCTCAGAAAGATTGAGGAATATTTATAGTGAACAATAATGAATGAGCAATCTCAAGAAGATGACAATATTTTCTTTTAGCAACACCATTTTGTTCCGGGGTATGCACACATGTAATAAATTAGTAGAGAAATTGGGGACATGAAAAACAGAAGAAAGAGATAAAGACGGTGAGCAATTAATTGACCCTCTTCCAGAAATAGAAGATAAGAATCCATTAGTTACTTTAACTTTATCCTTACCAGAACATGTAGAATATGAAGAAAAAAGGCTAGAAGAACTTGTTATGTGATCCGTAGCTCCAGAATCTAGTATCCAAGGACGGCCCAAGGTTAAGCGGGGCCCTAGGCAAAATTTTCGTATGAAGCCCTATTAATATTTTGTTTATTGATATATTTTATTTTTAATTATTATAATTTTTTTATGTTTTAAAAAATTATTTTTTATTTTTTAAAAAATTTAAAATATTGATCAATTTTTTAAACTAAAGTTTTGACAATAATTTTTTTTAATAGATAATATTGTTAATTCATTCACTCTTAGTTGATTGTAAATAAAATTTTATTAATTTAAGTTTTAACAAGTAATTTAATAATAGAATTTGTGAGCAAAGAATAATTTTAAGATGACAAAGAATCATTATTTACCCATGAGTAATGTGCACGCATGAAGTACAAAATTTTAATAACATAAGACAATTTAAGTATAAATTATTTGGACTGAAAATTTAGGTTAAGACAAAAAAAGAACCGAATAGATTTTCACCGCAAGAAATAATGAATATAAATTTTCTATGTGAGTGAGTGAAATACCACCATGAACACATCCAAAATATTTAGAAAATTTTAAATCAAAGCTCACACGATGGAGTAATTTTAGACTCAAAAAAATTAGATATTGATTTGAACTATTAAAATTTGAGTCCTAAAAATTTGAATTATATCTAAAATACAAAAAATAAAAATAAAAAGGACTATTATACTAAAGTGGTAAATTTTATGGAGGCCTCTAAAATTTGGGGTTAACCAAATAGAAAGTAATTTTGGATCTAATAAAATTAGATACTAATTTGAACTAATAAATTTGGGCACTAAAAATTTTAATCATATCTAAAATAAAAAATAAAAAATAAAAAATTAGGCCTACTATACTAAAAGGATAAATATTGTTGGGCCCTAGGCAAGCAACTAAGGTGCCTAGGGGTTGGGCCGGCCCTGCTATTATCCAAGGAGAAGATGAAGATAACGTAGTAAATACACTAGAAGATATACCGGTGTGGGCAAAATTGGAAGAAGAGGCTGGGGTAGAAGCTCTAGTAAAGACATCCAGTTGAGCCATCAAGTCCAAATCTTATGTGCCGTATCAAGTAGAAAAAAACTACGGCTAATAGATGGTTGCATTGAATTGAGCAACCAAGACATAATTAAAGCATTATCAGATGTTCACTGCTTTAAGGAAGGACTAGACTCACTTGGTTTCTTAATCTCTCTAGTCAAGTACCCATCTTAACATATCGCTTGGATCGATAATAAACATGCCCTTGACCATGCCAAGTAGTTGCTCCTATCCAATTTTTTGGGCTAATTTGGAGAGAAGGGTTATTTGCCAAAACACCCCAACAGTTCACCCCACTTCGTCCAATACTTCCCCCAACATTAGTGGACGTCGCACTCCTGTCGGACTTGTTTACCCAAGAGAAGCAACACAAAATAACAAATACTCACTAAAAAACTCTACCAAAGAAGCAGCCCACTACTGGAAAATATCACAAACTGTACCAAAATATGGAGTAAGAAGATTGTAGGGACACAAACCAGAGGCGAAACAAGGCTCCCAGATTGTGTAACAGTGCACCTGACACCTTAACAATTTCAAATAGAGGTGCCGACAGTCCCAGAGGAGCAAGAAACCTCACAAATCCAAACAACACTCAACAAATCAGTTTGGGCATGGTATAATATGTTGATTCGCCCCCTTCTGAGGAGATTCGAACCAAAAAAAACACTGGATTGGCGCAGAAATCATAGATCGCAAGCCGAAGCCCAACAAAACTGAAAATTCTTCAAAAAATCAAACGACTAACCAAACGGTTTCAGAAAAATTCACAAAAATCTTAGAAGAAGATTTCGAGTCTTCCATAAAAATTTCAAAA